AGCAGCACAAACACTGTTGGGGGGACAGTGAACAGCCAAGCTGCCCAAACTCAGCCTCCTGCCATGACCTCCAGCAGAAAGGGCACATTCACAGATGACCTGCACAAGTTGGTGGACAATTGGGCCCGAGATGCCATGAATCTTTCAGGCAGGAGAGGAAGCAAAGGACATATGAATTATGAGGTAAGTTTTCCTTTTTTTCCCATTTGCCTAATCTATTAGTGTCACTTAGCACATCTGAGACCATGCTTAACATTTCAAGCTGTTATCTACTGTAGTAGCTCATTAATTTTAACACTTTTTAAAATACGATTTTATTGATTTCAGAGAGATAGAAACATCAATGATGAGAATCATTGATCAGCTGCCTCCTGCACGCCCCCTACTGGGGATTGTGCCTGCAACCCTGGCATGTGCCCTGTCCGGGAATCAAACTGTGACCTAGTCCATGGGGTGACGCTCAACCACTGTATCGCTCCAGCCAGGCAATTTTAATACTTTTAGAAAAACAAGACAAAAATCACCCAAGTACCCTTTTATTTTTCCTTCCCTGAATCCTTCACTCCCTATTGGTCAGCTCAATTTTTTCTTCCCTTTCCTTTATTACCCTGAACTGCATGCCGGTCGTCATACACAGACAGACACACACACACCACCACTCAGTTCCAGACTGAATGGTTATCCTTCCCTGTCAGGTAAGTGTAAAGAGCCAATAATTATTATTATGAAAGGATTTATAAGAGTAGAACAGCCCTAGTTGTAAAATTGTATTTTTGTATTGCCCATTTCACACTCAGCATGTTATGCCTACACCACACTTTACAATGAGTTGTTTTGTTTTCAGGGCCCTGGAATGGCAAGGAAGTTCTCAGCACCTGGTCAGCTGTGCATCTCCATGACCTCAAACCTGGGTGGCCCTGCCCCCATCTCTGCAGCATCAGCTACCTCTCTAGGTCACTTCACCAAGTCTATGTGCCCCCCACAGCAGTACAGTTTTCCAGCTCCTCCCTTTGGCACTCAATGGAGTGGGACGGGTGGCCCTGCACCACAGCCACTTGGGCAGTTCCAGCCTGTGGGGACTGCCTCCTTACAGAATTTCAACATCAGCAATTTGCAGAAATCCATCAGCAACCCCCCAGGTTCCAACCTGCGGACCACTTAGACCTAGAGACATTAACTGAGTAGATTTGGGGACAGGTAAGAGTGCTGAGTGATTGGGGGTGGAGGGGTTAGTAGCCTATATACTAACTACTAGTGCTGCATTTAACTGATTATTTCTTGCCAGAAAGGAATGTTTTTAATACTGCTTAGAGCCCTCAAAATGGAGAGTCTTCCTCCCCTTCACCATTAATTGGAGTGGGACAAGAAGGAAAGAGCAGCTTTCTTGTGGTGCGGTAGCTTCAACTTGTGCTTTCCTATTTACCTGTACCCAACAGTGAGGGCTAGGAAAGAGAAGGGCTTTTATCAGGAAGCTATTAGAGTGCTCAAGGGAAAACCAACCCCACCTGTATTTTTAAGTGGGTGTAGCTCTTAATTTTGGTACCTACCCCAAGTCCCTCATTCCCTCAAGAATCTAAGCCACAAGACAAAAGTATTGGGTTCTTTCTTACCCTGTTCCTCCACCCACCCCTACTCTTCCCCCCCCCCAACAC